GCCGCCCCGCCCCGCCCCCTGCCGCTGACCGCGGCCTCCTGACCCCACGGCTCCCTTCTGTCTCTCCCGCAGGAGGGCGAGAGCGAGGGCCCGGAGCTGTCCGACTGGGAGAAGTACGCCGCGGAGGAGTACGACCTCCTGGTGGCCGAGGAGGCCGCGGGGGAGCCCTGGGACGACGGGTGAGCGCCCCCGCGGGCTGCGTGGGAGGGGACAGGGCCCGGCCGTCCTGCGTGGTGGGACGCGTGGGGTGACCTCCGCGCCGGACCCTCAGGCCCACGTGCACCTGGGGAGCCCTGAGGCCGGGGCACACCTGGGGAGCCCTGATGTCTGGTGCCCTGGTCGCCTCTGACATTAGCCGGACGTCACTCCTGAGGTCAGGTGCGCACCGGGAGCGGGAACACCCACCTGCGCCCGGGCCTCGGTGAATCCCGGCTGTGCGTGTTGGCAGGGGACTGGACCGGGAGGCCGAGTCCAGTGTAGCCGGCGGGTCCTCTCCCTGGGCTGCCGCGGTAGGGTGGACAGGTCAGAGGGCACGGCTGTTTCCACCGGGACCCAGTTCACGGTCTGCTCGCCSGGGTCTGGGTGCCTGGCCTCCTGCCCGTCCTGGGGCCCAGCTGGGCYTGGGCATTGGAGCTCCAGAGGCGCGAGGCCCGAGGCTCTCGCTCACCCCGTCTGGGGCACTGCGGTGCTCTGGGCAGGGCAAGCCCAGGCCACTCTGCCAGCAGCATGGGCTGCCCCCGGTGCCCACTGCAGCCTGAGGCTCCGCCTGAGGTCCCCTGGCGCAAGGGTCCCTGGGCCTGGCTCAGCCCCTCAGTGTGTGGGAGACTCCAAGGCCCGGGCCACCTGGCTGTCCAGGGCCATCTGTGGAGTCCCAGTCCCTGGGGCCACCTGGCTGGGCTCCTGGGGCACCAAGTGGCACCTGGATGAGGCACCAGCACTGCAGGGAGCTGCCCCCCAGGAGTCTGTCCGTCCCCACGTTGTGTCTGCGTGTACCTCCCTGGTCACTCCCAATGTGGGCAGGACRAAGTGACCCCACACGCGCATGGTGGCTGGGTCTCTAGTTCAGGGTCTTCTCACAACCCTTGGGGGCCGCCTCCCTGGTGTCCCTGGCTCCCGCTGCAGAGACCCCCTCCATTCCTGGGGTGGACGCTGGGGTCCTGTCTCTGCGATGATCGCTGGGCATCCGTGAGCCAGCGAATCCATCATCCTGGCAGGTCCAATGCCGGTGTCCAGCCTGCGTCCTCCACCCTCAGGAGCGCTCCTGAGACCAGCCCTGTCACCCGCAGGCCCAGTCCTGTCCTGTGGGCCCTCTGCTTCCCGGGCTGTCTGTCCCCATGTCCCCCAGGTCACTGACCCCTCGAGTACTTCCAGTACTTCCCTGTCCCTTCCCTTTGTGGAGCAGCTGTGGCCAGGGACACGTCCTGTGTCTCCTGCCACCCTCCCCTCCTGATGATGCAGCCCGGTGCCCACGAGCAGGTGGCTGTGCTGGGCTGCTGCCTCTTGGCTGTGGAAATGTGGGTCAGCAGCTTCTGGCCACCTGTGTTGAGCCGGGTCACCCCCCTTTCTGGAAACGTCTTGCTAGCTCGGGTTGTCTCTTCAGCTCGCAGGGACTGACCAGCTGACAAGCCCACTTGGGCCCTGGCGGTCGCCCTGCAGGGAACAGCCGCCTTAGGCTTTGGGGGAGACCCGAGGCCAGCAGTTCCCACCCCGGGGGAGCTCCTGTGCCGAGGCCCCGGGATGGGCTGCGGGCTGGACGTCCCCAGCTCCCCGGCGCCGTGCGCGCACCCCTTGGGAGCCTGGTGCTGACCTGGAACCCGTGGTCTCCAGCGCGGTGAGGGCGGCCCCTGAGGGGGAGAGGGCACCCCCGCGGTCCTCACCGGCCGCTCCTTGCAGGTACGAGGGGGAGCTCAGCCCTGTGGACCAGAAGCTGAGCGCGCTGCGGTCCCCGCTGGCCCAGAGGCCCTTCTTCGAGGTGCCCACCCCGCTGGGCGACGTTGACCTGTACGAGTACGCGTGTGGCGACGACGACCTGCAGCCCTTGTGAGGCCCTCGCGGCCCGTCCCCAGYGGCCGGGTTTGCCTAACTGTCCTGTTGTGGACACCGAGTGCGTTTGTACGGAGTGATGATGTTTATTTATTCACCGCGGAGGCTCGTCAAGGGTTATTGACAGCGCACGCACGTCCCCACCGCCCGAGGGACTGACACTGTCCAAGAACTCCAGGCCACCGGGCCGCGGACGCTTGCCAGGGCCAGCCGCGGGATGCCCGAGTGCGCACCCTGGACCGCGCCCCTCTCCCGCGCGCCCTGACGCCGCCTGCGCGCTGAGCGCCCCTCCCCCAGCGTGTGGGTCGCGAACATTCCGCGCGCACCGCGGGTGTGGTCACGCGCACACACGGGCGTGCAAAGACGACTTCATCTGCTGTGCAGCGCAGCTTACCATGTTGTACGCGGTCACGTTTGTATTTTTGAATAAAGAGTTTAAGGATTTTCAGCCCCTGCTGGGTGTGTTCAGCCGCCCGGCGTCGGCGCCTGGTCGGGGTCCTTCACAGGGCCGCAAAGCTCTGTGCTGCTGCTGCTGGGGACTGCTGCTGCTGGGGACAGCGCTGCCGCCGGGGCCAGTGGTACCCAGGACTGTGGCCAGACCCTGCATGCCCAGCTGGCCTGCCGCCCCAGGAGTCCACTCCAGGAGCGTGGCCACAGCCTCTGCACCCGGGCAGCTGTGGAGGCCACTCGTGTTCTCACCGGTGGAGTGGGCGGTTCAGCCAGAAGACCCCCCCCAGACCCATGAGGACACGCCCAGAGAAGGATGGACATGAYGTCAGATGGATGTAAGGGGGTGGGGGCTCCCCTGAAACTCCCCGAGGGGACACAGGAATCCTGGAGGAGCCGGTGCCCCCAGCACCTGGCCAAGGTGTTGAAGGGAGCAGGGTCTGGCCGTCCACAGGGGAGCCGGCAGGAGGGCAGTGACCAGCTGCAGGTGCCTCCTGCAGGGCCTCCACCCCATGCTCCTGAGGTCCCTGTGTCCAGCTGGGAGCCAAACCCCAGGGGTCTTGACCTGGGAGGCCCTTTACCTGTGCCCAAGTCTCACGCCCCCTGGCCTAAAGGGAGCCTGTCCCACCCACGGGGCTTGAGGCAGGGACACCAAGGAGAGCCAGCAACCAGGGCCTGGGCAGGAGAGGGCAGAGACCCCCATGTCCCCACAAGCCTCACCTGCTGATGTCCCTGTGAACCCCATCCTCGTGTTCCTGTCCCCTGGACGTCACCTGCACTTCTGGTCAGTACTGTTCCCCTCTGATGTCCTGGCTCCCTACCATGGCTCCAGAAGGCCCAAACCTGGACTCCAGATGAGACGAGTAACATGTCACTGTCCTCCACCATGAAGGCTGTGTCCTCAGAGGACAGGAAGCCAGAGCCTGCGTGGCTGGGTGGGCAGGGTCCTCCATGCCCCATGCCCTGGGCCACCGACCCAGACTCCTGGTACAGCACCCAGAGGGGCACACCTGCTAGAGCTCAGCAGCCTGGGCGCCTGGGGCCTCCTGGCCCCGGACAGCAGCAGGGAGTGTCCAGGTGCACTCCTGTGATGGACGGCACCATCCCGGGAGCCCCCAGTGTCCGGGGCCATGTCTGCCAGCCTGGCTGCAGCAGGAACTTCCTGGTCCCTAGGACTGTGTGCMCAGTACTACAGCCTGCAGCGGATTCAGGGATTCCGGGATCCGATGCCGCCCAGTGCCTCTGCCACCCGGGAGTCCCTCCCCAGCAGTGGGCAGAGGGGCAGCTTCACGTGCAGACCTCCCTGGCCTCCGGGGGACAGGCTGCCCGGGTGGCCCAGTACACAGCATCACCCACACCACCCTGCAGAGGTCAGAGCCCAACCCCTGGGCATCACTCATGGTCCATCCAGCCCAAGGTCACCAGTGTTCATTGTGACAGCCGACTCAGGATGACACGGTGCTGTACCCTAAGTGGGGCACTCCTCCCGGGGTTAGAGGTTTTCGGGGACCTTCAGACTTGTAGAAATTGCTGCAGGCCTGGTGAGGGTCATCAGCCCACAGCTGACACCATACCCTGCTGCCCACTTGGGATTGCCCCTGGCCGTCCTGCCTTGGAATTTACCAGACGACAGACAGGGCTCCAGAGCCCATGGGGAGCCCTTTACTGCAGGGGCTAAGAGAGGGCCTGAGTGTGGGAGATGGGGCGCCTCCCCTCGTGCTGGGATCACACGCATGTGCCTTCGCGTCCAGCAGGATGGAGTGCTTAAGGCCCCTAGTGCAGGCGTCCAGTGGCTCAGGATCACTTGCTGGACGCCAGCGCTCTGGAAACCAACTGTGACTTCAAGACCTGAAATGAGGCTGTCGGGGCCGGGGTGTTGGAATGAAGTGACGACCAAGACCTCCCGCCAGGTGGCGCGCAGGTCCCCCGCCTGCTCCGCCCTCCGCTCAGACCCAGCTCTTGGGCGGCCAGCAGCTCTGGCTCATGCTCTGGTTCGCCACGGGTCGCAGGGCACCAGGAACCAGCAACTAGAGGATAGCGACCGCGCGACATCATCAACTCAAGCGTGTGTGCGAGGGGCTCGGCCGGGAGCCCCAAGGCACCCCAGGTTCCCAGCGACGTCCCACACCCGTTCCTGGGTCGGTTTCCCATTTCTCCCCCGTTCGGCTCTCCACCTGCTCCTCAGTCTCTGCTGTGACAGTTGACAGAGCAACCCAGAAAGCCCAACCCCGGGTGTTTCCTTAAGAGGGGACTTGGGTCTGAAGGACGGTGACAGCTCAGAATTAGGGGCCAGTGTGGACTGACGCCCGCTCTTTTCAGGGAGTCAATGGGGACGACCAGTGGGCACCCAGGAGCATACCACAGGCACCGCCCACTCTCGGGCCAGCCAGTCTCGGGGACCCAGCAGCCCCCATCCTGGTACCCAGCCCCCACGCCCCCGGGAGGCGGGTGACAACTCCCGACGCCAGAGCCGCGGTGCTTTCCGCAGAGGCTTAAAGCGCCTTTCAGCTGAAACTGCTGGGACGCGAGGAAGGAGGGAGGAGGAAAGGGGGCCACAGCTGGTGAATTCCAACCCCTGGGCACTGGACAGCTGGATCCCACGGCCTGGTGGGGAGGGCGGCTCCTTTGGTGGACTTCGGTGTTTTCTAAATTCCAACTCCGTGGCCAGGCATCCCCTCTCGCCGGACGGATCTCCCAACTCAAATCCCGGGCCTTTAGGGCTGGACTCTGCCCCCACCCCCACCCCCACCCCAGGCCGGACTTGAGGCCCTAAAGACGACGCTGGGACCCCCGGGCGGGTCTGGAGCCTCCAGCCGACCTCGGGACCCCTGGGAGGGACAGGAGCCCCCAGTGGACCTCCTGATCCCCGGGGAGGGACTCGAGTCCCCATCGCGGACCTCAGCACCYGCGGAGGGGCCGCGGTCCAGAGCGGCTGGGGAGCAGACCACGCAGGCCGYGCTGGGCCGCAAGCGAACTCGGCTCTTTAACCGGCCCGGGCTCGGCCTCCCGGCCCGCCCATCACCGGCACGTGACGCAGCGCGACCAACAGAGAGRCCCGACGTAAGAGACGTAAGTAAGAGAGCGACCCGACGCACGACTCGGCCCTGGTCCCCGCCCCTCCGCGCACGGCGCTGACGCGGGATGTGGGCCCTGCGGGCCGCCGTCCGCCCGGGGCTGCGGCTCTCCCGGGTAGGCCGCGGCCGCCTGGTTTCCAGGGCCGCACCGCCGCCGCCCGGCCCCGTGCGCGCGCTCGCCGCCACCGGCCGTTATGGCCCGGGGGGCCGGGAGGGGCCGGGGAGCGCTGAGCGGAGGAAAGCGAATGGTCGGACCCCACGCGCGGGAGAGGACGAGGAAGAGCCCGAAGATGAGGGAGAGGAGGAGGAGGAGGAGGAGGAGTTGCTCAGGAGCGACCCTCTGCTGCCGGCCGGGACCCAGCGCGTGTGCTTGGTTCACCCTGAGGTCAAGTGGGGAGCCGGGAAGCCGCAGCTGACCAGAGGTGACCGGGACCCGGCGAGAACACAGAGAACGCGCTCAGATGGCTGAGGCGCTGGGGGCGGAGTCTGCGAGGGGCAGGGACCCAGAGGAAGCGCTGATAGGATCGAGGTTCCGGAAGGCGGAACCTGCGAGGGGCGGGAACACAGCGGAAGCCCTCATAGGGTGGAAGTGCCGGAGAGGCRGGGCCTCAGGGGGGCGGGGATCCAGGGGAAGCGCTCATAGGGTGGAAGTGCTGGGGAGGCGGGGCCTTAAAGGGGAGTTACCCAGGGGAAGAGATCATAGGATGGAGATGCCGGGGAGGCGGGGCCTCAGAAGGGCAAGTGACCTAAGGGAAGTGCTCCGCACAAGGCCTGTGAGGGGCGGGAACACAGTGCAGGCGCTCATAGGGTGGAGGTGCCGGGGAGGCGGGGTCTCAGAGGGGCGGGGATCCAG